GTTAAAAGTTTTAACAACCTACCATTCTTCTTTTTCATTCTTTCCAACTTGAATTCAACTAAACCTCAATTGAATGTTCCTTACTTTTTATGGCAAGGAAATCAATGTAAAACAATCTTCAAAGGTTCAAGAATTTTTTTTAGAATCTCACAAAATTCAATGATGAACTCAACTTTCAAATTATGTATATAAAACAAGTTCATCACAAAAATGAGATCTAAACTATTTAGGCTGAAAGGGGTTAACAAAATCTCTCTACTCACGGGTAAGTTACTTTGGGATACATTTATGCTCAATATAAACAAATGCCTTGATCATTTCTAATGCTTCCACAAAATTATATTAATCAAAAGATAAAGCATGAATCAAATGAATAAAACAAAGTTATCAATCATCCTAGTATATAGTAAACAATGGAGGTTTCTCACAATTTATGGCTTTTGAACCAAAGTGAAACAAGCATTCAAACAAGTTGTAACATGAAGAAAAAAATACACATTTGCACAAAGCACACAATTCTCAAACCATTCTAACATTCTATAAAGCGGTACAATTTACCTTGCTTGCATTCACATGTTTAACATCCTACCATCACTATCCAAATCCGGGAGAATCTTCATTGGATACTTTTATACAAATAACAATCAATCTAGAAGGAGTTCTCATCATTCATCCCTAAACAACACTAGAGAAAACATAAAAAGGAAACAAATATATATACAATATAAACAACTGTACAAAGCTAAAAAATATATAAACTAATATAAGCACTAAATATAATACATCAATCCTCGACAACGACACCTTTTTGTTCAAACTGCAGTAAAGCGGCAAGAAGCAAAAATTTAGTTTTGGAAGGATTCCCTTTGGGATTTATATCGCCTCCACAGGGATCAGTGCGAGTGAAAGAATATCGTTCAACAATCTCTACATTTCTAAGCTTGTTGTGAAATTTTGGTTAAAAGATAAAAAATATAATAGATAAAAGCTGAAAATATAAAGGCGAAAAATATAAAGTAAAGAGTGAATTATAAATGGAGCCTTTGTTGAGATTGAATCTCATCAATTGATAACACGTGCATTCTTCTAATAATGCTATACACAACTCAAACGTTCATCTAATACTATCATGTATCACCCACAATAGAGGATATGTCTAATGCAAAGTCGAGAGACCAATCGTATTGTCTCATCAGTGATGCTCACGCAACAAAACCAACACAGAGCATTAAGAACTGATACTCACGTGAATGTTAAACCCAAATCCATGTCTAGAGTTTAAACCTAACAGATACTCAAATAACATCCATATCAAATTAATGATTTGATTCATATATAACGCCATGATCAAAATATGTACACATGATTAACCCTTTTTACATGTATTATACTAATATGCCAAATGTATGTGAACATAATTCTTCATCTTTATTGTCACACATTCTCACAATATCGCTTGTGTAAAAAACATTATCATGGTCTTTACCGTATTGATTCTTCCCATTCTACTCATGTTACTAATCAACACAATAAAATAAAAGTGATACTAGTGAATATCAACTTACAAGACAATGTCAAAAGTTTGCTCATTAGTAGATGAGTATCTTAGATCTAAGATTTGAAAAAGGTTTTGTCGAGACACACAAATAAGAAATCAAAGACAACATCAATATTGAATCAAAACTAATTCACAATACATATATTAGATGAAATACACAAGGTACCAAAAGTCTAAATCCAACAAGAATTCAAAGCTCTTACCTTCTCCCTCTTAAGGTTTGTGTTTCTCTCTCAAGAATGTGCTTGGAACGAAGAGAGATAAAGTTCTATGCTGAAAACATAATATAAGAAAAGTTATTTTCTAAAAAGCAAGAAAAGTACATATATAGTACAACAAAAATCTGTCATGTTCACCGAACGAACAACCTATTCGCCCAACGAAGTCTACTTTGAGACACTTGAAGTGTCTCAGGAACAGTTAAACCGCCCTTGGAAAATATTTGAGTTCGTCATGCAAGCACTTCTTCGCACAACAATCTGCTTTGCTTCAACTTCACCCAACAAACTTTGGACCTTTTTCCTACTGCCTATAATTTGGGATGGTTCGTTGGGACTTCGCCCATCGAATACTCACTAGCTGCTCGCTGATGTTCGCACAACGAACATACTGATTCCTATTCATTTTTGTCCAATCATTTGTGCCTTAAACATTAATGTTTTATCCCTATTTCCTGCACAATAACACACACATCAAAGAATCCAATGGTATTTGCAATATATTGAAAAATCAAACAAGGACAAGAAATAAATCTCAAAAAACATGAGAAATGAGTTTAAAATGCAAAGAAAGATGGTTCGGTTTAAGTCAAAATTTGCACTTAACACATGCACCCAACTTCGTGCAACCATTCTATACCTAGTAGCAGATTGTTATTTACTTTGGTTGGCACCACCATAAATTGTGTTGGCCTTGCGGTGGTTTCCACCACTATGTCGACTTGGATGACCCCTAAAGGATTGGTAGTCTTACCCTCATAGTTGGACAATACCATGTTATTACAAGCTAAATCCATGGTAAATTTGCCCATTTTTCCCAAGAGAGATTGAGGCATAACCTTAACATATGCTTCACAGTCGATCAAAATGTTGTTAATCCACATGCCATTTACCTTGGCCTTATATATAAAGGCTTCGGGTGTTGTTGCATGGCCATGTACGGCCTTTCAAAAATGGCTAGTTATTCGGCGAGCCCTTATTATAAACGTATTTATTTGACTGGCCGTTGACTAGTTCGACCTTCGTCGACAAATCAGATGCTATCAGATCCACTGGAGCTTCTAGCCTCTCGAGCACCTTTCTTATTTCTCTAGTGTCTCATCCGTTGAGTCCTATTCATGAGATTTTTTCCCATTTAGTTCTGTAAGACATGTGAATATTTCTTTGAAACCTGAGAGTTATCTCTTTATGATACGCCAAAATTGACATTCAGAACTTTCCATTTGCCCCCACCAACTTCTGATTTTTTAGCAGGGCATAACCATTCACTAGGAGGTGCACTTGTAGCAGGAACATAAGTCCTACCTTGGAATTTCGCTGGACCAATTCCTTGATTGTAGAAAGGTTCCTTGAATATATCTTGTCGGAGAAACTTCTTGGTTGGGTAAGGGTTTGTCCTTTAGCTATTTAACAACTTCTTTGTCGAATACAAAGCTGCACCTGAGACACAACATTACTTTTGAATATTTCAATCTGCAACGATTCAGAAAATCGACAAACTCTTCTTCTGCTTTAGGATATGCCTTTGTTATTTAATCCTCGTGATTTGGTTTGTTGTCTTCAACTCCAACATTGTCGTTAGTGTCGACGACCATGATGTCCATTGGCTCGATAAAGAGAGTCTCAACTTTTGTTTCAGTTTTCCCTTTTGGGCGTGGTTTATGCTTGTCAGCAAACTTGAGTATGCCATCCTTGAGAGTATTTTGCACCAGGCCCTTGAAAAGTACACATTGAGAAGTGTTATGACCCAAAGAATTATGAAATTTACAAAAACATATTTTATTTCTCTATTCTCGTGGTGGGATTTAGTCCCTTTTGGAACAACAATTTGTCCATCAGTAACTAACAGGTCAAATATTTCGTCACACTTAGTAACATCAAAGGTATATGTTACAACAACAATTTTTTTTTTCATTTTTGGACTCTGATGACCATGAAACTTATCATATTTTCAACTCGACACGCATGCATTTTAATCCGTTTTATATACATTTCAAGTTATTATGTAGTGTTATGTTGATATTTTATCTTTGTTGCAAGTATTTTCTAAGTAGGAGCTGACACATGAGAAAATGGAGCAAAAATGATAAAAAGCGGAGAAAAAAACACCTCAACATGAAGTAACGTAAAGAAAAACGCTTTAGTACTTGTGACGTTTGCCACAGGGGCACGACAAAGGTATATGTTCTAGTAACGTAAACGAAGCATAAATTTGAGACTCGTTTTTGTGACTGATTATTATAATATTTTGAATTGAATTACCGCGAGAACATTAAATTTAGAGGTATCGGTTCCGTTTTGAAAGAGAGAAACCCGCATTTGAGATAGGAAATAAAAAATCAAATTTTAATTTAAATCACTTGTGACAACAAGACTTATTTTAATTGCAAAAACAATTATTTTCAAAAATAAAGTTTATAGGAATAAGTATATAATTTAATTTGAAAAAGGGAAGAAATATTTATTAAGATCTTTTCAGAGAAGGGAAGAGTAATTTAAGGAATAAATTGCAAAAACAATTAAGTGTATATTTTAATTTGAAAAGGGAAGAAATATATATTAACATCTTTGAGAGGAGGGAAGAGTAATTTACCGAAAGCAAAAATATAAGTTCTTTACATGATTTTATTTTGAGAATTTAAATATTCACAAAATAAAACGAACGGCAACAGTTAAAAGTTGAAAAGAATCAAGCTATAATACGACCATCACGAGCGTCAAATAGCGAACCATCATAAACACGCAAAGATATCAACCATAGGAAAATTGATCGTAATTTTCCAATCCAACGGCCCAGTAATTGTCGGCTTAAATCAGAAAACTCCACCTCTATTTCTTCTCCTATTCTTCAACCCTAACCTAATTAACCAAAACAAACGCTGCCTCTGTTTTGGTTCGTTCTCAGCATATTTTCTACTCCACTTTCGATCATGTACACTCGTCATTAACAATACGATACAACACACAACCTTTCAGATTATCACTCACCTAAGGTATGTTAACTTTTTCACTCTTTTTAGGGTTTGTTCATTGATTCACGATATCCCTTTGTTGTTTCTATTGTTCAATTGTTTTTTTTAAAGATTCAATCTTGTTGTATATTGTGTAATTGAGTGTGGATGTGAGGTGGAGTGTTTGGATTTTGAATGTGTTGTTGTATGAAGTTTGAATAAAAGTTTTGTGATTGTAGAAATATATAGATATATAGATACGAAGTGTTTGAAATGGCAACAACAGAGACAGCTTCTGCTACGCTTGGTCCTCGATATGCACCCGATGATCCCACCCTTCCGAAACCGTGGTTGGGGTTGATTGATGGAGGTACTGGTACTTTGTACTATTGGAATCCTGAAACTAATGTTACTCAATATGATAAGCCCGGCGCCCCACCTGTGCCTGCTGCTTCTACTCCTGGTTTGGCACCTATACCGAGTGGGTCGGGGCAGCAACAGATGATGCAAGTGCAGCCGCCCTCACAACAACAGCAGGGGAACCATTTTGCCCAACAGCAACAGAGTCCTCATGTGGCACAGGCTACTCAGCAGCAGCCTTCTCAAGCTGCTCAACCTGTGCAGCAGCAGCCGACACAGCAGCCTGGGTTACACCAAGCTAGACCACAGATGATGCAGCCTCAAGGGCAGCAAATGATGCAGTTTCAAGGGCAGCAATTTCAGCAAATACATCATCAGATGCCTCCGCAGGTGATTCGTCCACAACAATTTGGGCAAGGGAATCCTCAGGATCATGGTACACATATTGTGCAACCGCAAGCACCTCAATTCACTCCTCAGAACATGCATTATATGGGGTATCAACAAAATATGAATACACCCAGGCAACCTAACTCCCAGCAGGTTCAGCAAAACATCCTACCACCTGGGCAGTCAACACCCCAGCAGAATCAGCATCAGCATAACATACATAACCAGCCTTTTGAAAACCAACAGGATTTTAAAACAGCAATACCAAAGGTGGAGGAAGCAGAGTTTAAAAATGGAAGCCAAGTTGGTTTCTCTCCATCACAGTATCAACAAAGGAGTGCCTTGCCTGGTCAAAACAATCCAAATGTTCCTGCTGAAGTAAGTTCTGGTCAAGTGTCTAATGCAGGTGTTAATTCTGGCCAACCACAACAATTCAGGGGGTTTCCAGGCAGCATGCAGCAGCCTGCCCCGACAATGCAGTCACAGCAGGGTGGTTCTGATTTATTTTATCAACATGCTCCTAACTTTCAAAACCAGATGAGCCCGGGTATGATGCATGGGCATCCATCTAATGCGCATCCTGCTGCCCAAAAAATGGGACATGATGACAATGTACACGGTAGAGCTGGAAATGACTATTATTATAATTCTAACAAAGAGATGCCACCAATGGGTCGTCAGCAGTCAGATATGGCCCAAATGCCAATTCCCAGAAATCAGCAGGTACTTTTCTTTTCTTATTTCAATCTTTTGAAATTAAATCAAGGCTTCAGTTTTTCATTAAAAAAAAAAAATCTAAGTGTCGTCCCACTTGGTGGAGTTGGCTTCATGAACTAACCAACGTTATAATGGTCTAAAGATAGATAATCTTTACCTATAAGCCTCTACAGTTTTTAACTTTTAATTAAATATATTACACGTGGTTTCTTTTTTACTGTTAGACTTATGCTTTCAAGTTATTTCAATATATCTAATAAGATGCCATCAGTGGTTTAAAATAATAAAATATCGAGTTAATATATGGAAACCCTCGTGCTTGCCACATCGTACAAAATGGTGCATTTGTCTGAAAACTGTAGTCAATGGTGCACTTCTCTGAAAACTTCATTCATCTGTAAATTATAATATGATAAAGCAAGATTAATAATAGCTTGGGGATGCTTTATGCTCTTTTATGACAAAAATCTCAAAATTTAATGTAGCCAATGAGGCCCAAAGGAATTTCTAAAGCATTTCTCCTTTAGCTAGGCACATGCCGCTTGCGTGCCTTAGAAGTAGTTACTTTCAATTTGACCACCTTAACACTGTTTTGTGTTGATAATGCATGCGTCAAAGTTTCACCCATTTTCCCGAATTTTTGTATTTAATAATTTAATTTTTCATTGTCTTACTCCCTATAGTGTTCGTTTGATATCCCGATTAAATACTTTGTTGATAATTTTGTAAAACATTTATGCAGGATATGAGGATTGGCAATTCCCCTTTTCAAAATAGTGTCCCTAGTGGAAATGGAAGCGGTATTACTGGGAATGCTATGGGTAACATGTTCACCTCTCCTCTTGGAGTACCTTCTGCCCTTTCAAGTAACTCATTTACAAGGCCTCCTTATGGTGGGTCTTCAGATGTTACTGATCTCTCACCAGCTGAAATATACTGTCGGCAACATGAAGTTACAGCCACGGTCTGTACTATTCTTTCCGCATTTGTGTATGCTACCTGTTTTAACATCTTGATACAAATAATGTTTGAACCAAGCCTCCCAGCCCACTAGGCATACTTTATACTATGACTTGCCTATATATTAGAATTAAGTTGCTCCAAATGAGAGAATGGAGCCATCAAAGTTTATGGCTTTACATTTTGCAAATGTAATATGATATGTTCTAGATGGTTTGTGCTTTTCAGTGGGGATCTTGATGCCAATGTTTTATTCTTCTAGACTGTCCACATCTTAATGTATTTATGTTGAGCTGTTTCTCAGTATTTACTTCTTATTGGACAGGGCGACAACATTCCACCCCCATTCATGACATTTGATTCTACCGGGTTCCCTCCAGAGATACTGCAAGAGGTAAGTTTATTCTGTCCTGTTATATGGTATTGGATGCTCTGGTGCTTCTAGGAAAGTAGTAGTGGTTTTCCACCTGCACTCATTTTCCTCACTATTTTAACTTAAATTTTACTTTTAAACTCTTGTCGCAGGTGCGATATCTGCTCCAGAGCAGGAGCATATGTCGTACGCTGCACTGCTAATCTGCTATTGGCACAATTACCTGTGCAACTACTATCTTGATTTTTGGAGCCTGCAAAAAGGGTGGTTGCAGCCTTTCATGGGCATCTTCTATAAGTGTGGATGGCCCTTCATTCAAATTTCAGCTATGTGACCTGGGATTTGTTGCTTATTGGCTCCGCCTCTTAGATCTTTTTTGCCTTTTTTTATTGCCTCAAGTTGCTTCAGTAAGCAACCACAACCTATAGGTCCTTTTGTTCAATGTTTGCTAAATTGTTTGTTAGTTAAACCGATAGATGCAGTTGTGTTTTCTTAATCTAAAGGTGTTAGATGTGTGCACCGTAAAGTGGTCTGATTGCCTGCCATATGCTTTGATTTCAGGTATGTTCTGCAGGCTTCTCGAATCCAACACCAATACAAGCTCAAACATGGCCTATTGCCCTACAGGGTAGAGACATAGTGGCGATTGCCAAAACAGGCTCTGGGAAAACACTAGGCTACTTAATGCCGGCCTTCATTCTTCTTAGGCAGCGACGCAATAATTCTCTGAATGGCCCCACCGTCTTGGTTTTGGCTCCAACACGTGAACTTGCAACACAGATCCAAGAGGAGGTCTTTAAATTTGCACGGTCTTCAAGAGTATCTTGCACGGTTTGTTCTGAGCATTTCTATCATTATTTTTGTATAGTTTTAGTCTTTTGTATTGGCTTTGATCAGTTGGTGCTCCTCTTGATCTTGTTTCCCTTTGCAGTGCTTGTATGGTGGAGCACCTAAAGCTCTTCAGCTAAAAGAGTTAGATCGGGGGGCAGACATTGTTGTTGCCACACCTGGTAGGCTCAATGATATACTTGATATGAAAAAAATTGACTTTAGGCAAGTTTCACTCCTTGTGCTTGATGAGGCAGACCGAATGCTTGATATGGGTTTTGAGCCTCAAATCCGTAAGATTGTGAATGAGATTCCACCACGTAGACAAACTCTCATGTACACTGCAACCTGGCCTAAAGAAGTGAGAAAAATTGCCGGCGATCTTCTTGTTAATCCTGTTCAGGTTAACATTGGAAATGTAGATGAGCTTGCTGCAAACAAATCTATCACACAGGTATTCAATAAATGTCTGCTCATTTAAAAACTAAATTGATGTTTATTTATTTATATCTTGCTTTGTAAATACTTTGGTAGGTAAAAGTTACCGATGTGATCAATTTGTATTCTATTCTGTGATTATTAATTGCTGTTTTCTCATGTATCGGAGTATCATATATAGCAATAAATATATCATGTATACATTTTGGCAACTGAGTTCTGTTTTGTATTTACGGTGATAAGAATTTTCAGTTTCCATATATGAAAACCTTATTTCTGCTTGAGTAGAATTAAATGTGGATTTAGTTGTTTTATTTATCACTGTGTTATCCATATCCAAACGTAGGAATACCATTTCACATATTTCAAAGTACAATTAGACTTTTTTGGTATTTGTTGAAGTTTCTTAAGTGAAGCTTGTCTTCAAAAGTAATTTTTCTTGAGGTTTGTAATTCATTGACAGTTGTGAAACACTGAAAGTTTTAGTTGACTATGGCCCGTGTCTCCTGCAGTCCTACTGCAATTTCTATTTCATTCCATACTTGATTTAAATACATTTTTTCTTAGACTATTAAGTACATTTAACCTTCATAAAGACTTTATCTTCATTACCATACTGGGTGCGAATCCATTCCTTTTTATACAGTTCTATATTTCTTTTAATTTCCTCAATCAATTAAGTGTAATAAAAAGGCAGGCATTGGAACAATATTAAGGTTCCTGTTAATTGTATTTAGCAGATCTTTATTAGTTGCCTTTTCCTAGGATGTATAATCACGGGATTATCTTTCCAGCTTTGTTAGATATGTAAACCGGAAGCATGTTAAAATTGATGAACATCCTTTTATTTGTATATGACTGATCTTTTTTAGTTGCCTTTTCCTAGGATATATAATAATATCATTATCTTTCCAGCTCAGTTAAATTGTACAGTATCACTTAGTCAATTATCCTTGTATTCTGACTTCTATTTACTGCCAATGGTATCCATCTGTTTTTCTCTATTCGTAATTAAGAATAATGCTACAAATACAACTCTCTACTCTTGTATTCTGACTTCTATTTACTACCAACGGTATCCATCTGTTCTTCTCTATTTGTAATTAAGAATAATGCTACAAAGTCATATATGGGTACCACCAAATTGTGTGGGTCTCATGTAAATTTGGTGTGGCTGTAGGAATTTTAACCAATAGGAAAGCATGTGTTAGGTGTTAGTGAGTGTGTTGTTGGATCTTCTGTTGGAATGAATTTACCAAAATATGTTTCAAGTGCAGAAAACATTTTTTGTTTTTGTTTCTTGATGACTTAATTCCTCCATTCCCTTACTTCAAAGTGATTGTAAACTGGCAGTATGTTGAAGTTGTCCCACAAATGGAGAAACAGAGGCGTCTTGAGCAGATCCTCAGATCCCAGGAGCGAGGTTCTAAGATCATAATATTTTGTTCCACAAAAAAGTTATGTGATCAGCTTGCCCGGAGTATTGGCAGAAGTTTTGGGGCGGCTGCAATTCATGGAGACAAGTCTCAAGGTGAGAGAGACTGGGTTTTAGGCCAGTTTCGGAATGGGAAGTCTCCAATTTTGGTTGCCACTGATGTTGCTGCTCGTGGTCTTGATATTAAGGATATAAGGTTAGCTTCTTTGTATTTAAGGTGCTTATTTGTGTTTAAGGTATTTGAAGATTTTATGTCATGTGCATGTGCTAGATAATGATGATCCTATTAGTTATATAGTGCCTTAGCTTTGTTTGGAAGTTATATAAAACATTTTAGATTTAGTTATTTCTTTTTAAAACTTTTATACATTACAGGGTTGTGATCAACTATGATTTCCCCAATGGTGTTGAAGATTATGTACACAGAATTGGAAGAACTGGGCGGGCAGGTGCTACTGGAATGGCATATACCTTTTTCTCTGAGCAGGATTGGAAACATGCAGGTGATTTGATCAAAGTTTTGGAGGGTGCTAACCAACACGTGCTTCCAGAGTTAAGGCAGATTGCTTCACGCGGGGCACCAGGCTTTGGAAAGGATAGGGGCGGGATGGCTCGGTTTGACTCTGGTGGTGGTGGTGGTGGGCGCTGGGAGACTGGTGGTCGTGGTGGCATGAGGGATGGTGGTGGCTTTGCTCCTCGTGGTGGCATGAGGGACGGTGGTGGCTTTGGTGGTCGCGGTGGCACAAGGGACGGTGGTAGCTTTGGCAGTCGTGGTGGAATGAGGGATGGAGCTGGTGGACAAGGTGAGAGAGGTGGTGATTTCTTTCCTGGTAGAGGCAATAGGGGTAGAGGATTTGGTCCTCCACGTGGGGGCCATGTTGGTTGGGGTAGGGGTGACCGTGGTGGTCCCAGTGATCGGTACAACATGGATGGTCGCGGACAAGGGCGTGGACGTGGACGATTTGACAACAGAAGAGATGTTCAGAGAAGTAGAGACAGAAGTTACAGTCGTAGCCCCGAAAGAGTTCGGACATGGGATATTAACCGAAGCAGCAGTAGAAGTAGAAGTAGGAGTAGGAGCTGGTCTCGAGGTCGCAGTAGAAGCCGCAGCTGGTCTCGAGGTCGCAGTCGCAGCTATAGCCGTAGTCCACGACGAAGTCATAGCCGTGAACGAAGCTATAGCCGAAGCCGTAGCCGCAGCCCCAAAAAGAATAATAGGCGTGTCAAGTCAAAATTTTCCGATAAGATTGACATTGTGGCACCTGAAGCAGGAGTTTCTGATCCTAAAATGTTCCCTATATCTGCCAACACCCAAGAGAGTTCTATTTTGGGAACAGAACATCTGGAGCAGCTACCTGTTGTTGGAAGCACTGGCCCAGATAATGCAGAGGCTGTAGTGGACGTTAGCCATCAATCATCTTCTAAAACTTGAAGCATCTGTCCTAATCATAATTTTTGAAAATGCACTTCGGCAGTGGTGGGTATATTGACCTCTCACTTTTTGTTTCCTATTGGGTTTTACACTTTGATTACCTGATCGAAAATGATTGATTCGAAGTTTCAAAAGTGCAAGAAATTTTTGAGCAAACAGTCTAATATGATATACTGCACTGCTTAATGTTAAGTGAAAGTTGTTTTTCCTTTTATTTTTTTATGGGTTGGGGGTAGTTAATTTCCATTAGTTTGTGAATTCTGGAAGGGCATTATTTTGGTTGTATTATTAGTTGTATGGAAGTGGGATAAACAGATGTAATAGATTATATTATCATTTTTTGTAATAGACTAGAACTCAAGTCACCTAACTTTGGGCGTAGTACTTATTGTTCTATCTTATCATTAAGTTTTTTGTTAGCATAGTGTCCTTAAGACTATTTTTATGTTTAATGACCAATAAGTGAAATTTGAAATGAAATAAAATACATACTGATATTGTTTCGTTACAGATATGTTATAGTAAGATGAATTAAGAATAGGTTTAGTTATAGTTGTCATGTTATGGTAGTGAAAATTTATTTTAAGAGTAGTTTTACATTATGGAACAATAAGAAATCATCGGTCTCCCATGTCATGGAAGTAATTTTATTTTTGTGATTTGACAAAGTCGGTAGTTGGTTGTAAATGTGCACGTCTGTTTTCTCTTGGGTTATTGTTGAGGTACCTTGATAAGCACAGATTATTGGAGTGGATAGAAAGATATTAATGGATACTATCTTTCTTTTTGCATCAAGTGCTTTGAAGAATCTCTTTAACATTGAGAACAAAGCAACCACTTTCTTCTAGCTTCCTTGTGCACCTTCCTATTGAGTTGGGCAGTCATTCTCAACAAAAAGAACATAAGTGGGGGCATTCTTTTAGTTGTATTTCTAAAGTTTGTCAAGTGGTTTTTGATTTTTACGTAGTGGCAGTTTCAAAGTGTGGTAGTTTCTGCACGATATGAAAGAATCCACCGATGATATAACATGCATGAGAAGAGAAGGGAGGAGGAAATAGGTAAAAGTATATAAAGCTTCAAAACGAACTCATTGAACTTGTAAAAAATATCAGGTGTTTTCATTGAAGAAGTCATTTGGTTTGCTGCTTTATTGTCCACATACTTATAGGACTCAATTTATTTGAGCTTATTAAATTTAGAAATAAACAAAAATCTATCTACATATAAACTTTAGAAAAGAAACAACCAACAAAATAACAAAAATAGCCTTCATTATTTCTTGACATGTGTTCAATTGTTTTTCCTTTTAAAGAATAATTAGTGGGTTTCCCCTGCATTAAGAAACAAAATACCAAAAATATTAATAAAAATTAAGAGTGATAAAAGTAAAAGAAATATTTATACATAGATATGCTGGAATAATATAATTTGTTCTGCAAAAAGAATACATATTTATAATATTTATAATATAAGTAAGAAAGAGAATATTAAAAGAAAAGCTAAAAAAATTAGAAAATCTGCAATTAAATAAAATAATGAAATGAATTTGAAAAAGAAATGTTAGGATTAAAATGAGACAAAATAGAACAACAAAATTGAGCCATGTAGTGTTGTAGTAAAGTTGGTCCGGTAAGAGTCTATTATATATCATTGAAATTTTTTACCCCATTCTCCTACATTTATTCTTATATTTTACAATTTTTTAAATTTTTTTTAAAATTATTCTTTTCAATTTTTTATTTTATTTATACTTTTTACTGTGCAGTTAAATTAATTTAAAAAATGTTTCTTTTCGAAGTATACTACGTCAACCGGATAATATTAGGTAAAGAAATACGAAATATATTATTTACAAACTGGATAACACACGTAGAAGAAATCTGGTTATTAATTTAACAAACCGGTTAATTGTACGTGAGTTATCCGGTTCATATAATACGTTCCAGAAAACACATTCATAAGTTCTCCCGTTTGTATTTTACACGTTCCGGATAACTTGTTTACAACTGTTCCAGTTTTAATTTTTTGACTTCCGGATAACTTTACCCCAAGTTATCGGAACATTTATTTTATTTTATTTTTGTCACATTTATGTTAGGCATGGACAATCCTTTGATGATATGCGATGAAAACCAAACATGTGTAGACACGACTGAGATATTCTCGACTACATAAAATTTTGTCAGCGAGATGAGACGACTAAGTGGATTAGGGAGGTTGGAATCAGGAATAAAGTTACTACTATAATAACTTGTTCGGACATCAAAACTGGCAAGAGAGGAAGAAGTGACAAAGTTATATTTGTTTGTGATAGAGGTGGAAAATACAAAGAAGAAGATAATGAAACCCAAAGTGCTACCAAGAAATGTGGTTGTCCATTCAAAATTAGGTTAACACCTTTAAAAGATGGTTTTGGTTGGAATATTGACGTAAAATATGGACTTCACAACCATGATTTACCAGATAAATTTGAAGGTCATGCGTTTGTAAGTCGACTTAATGCTGATGAACAACAACATATTGTCAATTTGACAAAATGTCATGCTCCACCAAGACACATATTATTGTCATTACAAGAACGGGGTTCGGAGAATGTGACTCGAATCATCCAAATATATAAACATAAGACTAAGATTCAGAAAGACATCAGGGGTCCTAGAACGAAAATGCAACAATTGTTTAAGTTGATAGACGAATCTGATTATGTTTATTGGAATAAAAAAAAGATGAGTCGAAAGTTGTGAGAGATATCTTCTGGGCCCATCCAGGATCAGTGAAGTTGTTGAATATGTTTCCTAATGTGTTGATTATGGACAGTACTTACAAAACAAATAAGTAGATGCAACCTTTGTTTGAAGTAGCTGGTATGACATCAACCGAGTTAACGTTTGATGTTGTATTTGCCTATATGGAATCTGAGCAAACAAAGAATTTGTGTTGGGTACTAGATAAGTTGAAACAGTTGTTCACTAAGCAAGGGTTATGGCCACAAGTGATTTTAACGGACAGAGATCTTGCTTTGATAAAAGCAATTGAAATAGTATTTCCAACGACAATTAATATGCTTTGTCGATTTCACATCAACAAGAATGTGAAAGCAAAGTGCAAGGAGTATGTTGTGAATGATATGAGAGAGTCGATGGAGAAAATATGACATGAACTTGTAAGGGCTAATGATGAGGTGGAGTACCATCGAAAATTGCAACAACTTGAGTATGCCTATGCAGATTTTAAAGCATTTTTTGATTATGTGATAGACACATGGTTGACGCCTCACAGACATAGATTTGTTGAAGCTTGAATCAATAAATTGTTGCATTTGGGTAACATCACAACTAATAGGTAATGTGTTTGATTTTATCCATAGTTTATTTATCTTAATATTAATGATACCGAACCTTTTTTTTTTGTTAGGGTTGAGTATGCGCATTGGAAACTGAAGTAGATTTTGGAGAATAGTTTAGGTGATATGTGCAAATGTTGGGAGGCTATGAATGGGAACACCAAAGTACAATTGCGCAATATTAGAGCTTCATTTCATAAGAGTTTTTTATGAAGTTGGGCATGCACACACTAGTCCCTTTTATGCGAATTTGTGTGGATCAATATCTAGCGCGACTTTGAGACACATTGTTAAAGAGTGGCACAAAGTTAACATGGTTGGTACAAACACCAAAATGTTTGGGTGTAGTCATAGAAAAGTATACAATTTACCTTGTGCTTGTAAGTTAGGGAGATACACATTGAGTGGTGAATCAATACCAATTGATGTTATTCATATACATTGGAGGAAGCTCAGCATGGAAAGTGAACAAGAGGTAGATACAGAGGATGGATCAAAGGTGGATATGACCAATTCAATTGATGCACTGTAGAAAAGGTTCAGGTTATTCGAAGTGGCAGGAAAGAGAGCACTAAAGTAGGATGTGTGAAATTTCTTACCCCACTACAACAAAGATGGTACCGCCGCTTGGAAAAATAAAGACCAAAGGAGGAGTGAAGAGAAAAGGGAAGAAACTTGTGGGATATGATGTTTATCGTGATCCTTCATATCATGAGTATATTGATCAATCACACATTAGTTCTAACAAATCTTCAAAGAGACCATGTTAACAGTTATACCAAACGTCAAAGAACAAAACATCTAATAGGTACATTCTACAATTTCCAGAGCATATCAGACCATTTATTAATGACATTGTTGATGTTAAGAGTGACGGAAACTGTGGATATAGAGCGATTGCATCATTGAAGGATATGGTGAGGATGATTGGTCAATGGTTCATCGTGACTTGGATAATGAAATTAGAGGTTCTAGAATTAGTCTATATGAGAATTTATTTGGAAGTCGCTTATCAAAAGTGAGAGACTCCTTGATGATATCGTCTTTAGTTACTCAACTATTATATAAAAGGATGACATTACAAGATATGGGTTATGTGATAACAAATTGGTATAATGTCATTCTAGTCTCTTTGGGATATCCTAGTTTGACTTTCTTTCCTATGACGACTTCACATTCACCTAATGTGTTCATTTATTGCATTGGTTTTGTAAACCAAAATAATTGGGTCCTGGTAAACATTCATGTTTGTTATGTTAATTAATTATCTTTTGTTTATGTCTTACTTACTAAATTTTCTTAATAGGTAAACATGAACGAAGGATTTCCCTTGCCACCAGTCACATCAGATTGGAAGAAGTATCGCACATCAGATGCAACTTCTTAGACGACAGGATTTGCTGTACGGTTACAACATTGGCAGCAACTTACGCATGTGGTGTCAAAATATGTTAGATTATAGTTAGAATGAGATTTTTATATTTTGGTTTCTTTTGACATTTGGTTTGTGTTATATTTGATTCTTGGTGTGTTAGAAAAGTATACTACATAAGGAATATTATATAAGTTTGAATAATATTATATAACTCTGATGTGATTTTTATATTTTGGTTTATGTTGACATTTGATTCATGTTATATTTAATTCGTGGTGTGTT